ACTCCAGATAGAATTCTCCACAACTCCACTTCTATTGTAGCTTCTCATGTCAATTCTCACCTCCACTAGAGGCTCCATGACCATTGTCTACTTGTCCAGGTCCTTATCTGGTTTACTATATTCTGCTTCTCTATTGACAATACAAATAGAAACAGTTGTGATCAAGGTTTTCAAAGGTTTATAGTCACATTTACAAGTTAATTACTTTGGTGCTTATTCTTCCAGTTTCTACAGTAACAACAGAAAGAGCATTTTCTGCCATGAAAATTGTAAAAATGAGACTCCGTAGCAAAATGGACGATAAATTCGTTTCAAACTCTTTGATTGTTTATATTGAAAAGGAAATAATTTAGTCATTTAGTGCAAACTCTATTATAGATAGATTTCATGACATGAAAACTCGTCGAGTATTATTTTAATTTATAATATAAAAGTAAGTTTTCAAAATTACAATGTATTATTTTAAGACTTGAAAAGCTGATCCCCCCAACTAAAATTCCTGATTCTACCACTATTGCACATGCCTAGCTAATTCAAGAAAAAATTTTACTATTTAGTTAAACATTTACTAGTAAAGTTTCTCACAAACTCACTCACCTCTCCAAAGAAAAAAAAAAATTCTAATACAAGGGGAATAGAACCCCATTTGTGAAAGAGAAAAACCCAAATCCCCTATTAGAACTGTAATGATGATGGTTCCGAACGCCATGAAAAATAGTCAGAACCATCATGTAAAGAATCAACTGTTGAGCATTTGACTTCAGATTTGAATTTGTGAGGAATGTCCTTCAACCACTTTAACATAAAATTTCATCAAATATAATGATTTATAGTTTGATGATGATAATCAAAATCATAAAGAGAAACCTAGCACATTAGGAAATGAAAAATGAATACTAAGATCATGGGATCAGTTGGGATCATGGGCCATGGCAATTGATTTGGGTGAGGGCTCCATGTAATACAAATTGCAAAGAGTTATATAGCAAAATAGCTTTTTTTTTTTTTTTTTAAAGGAATGGCAACACAACATATCATCATTTCTTTTATAATAAAATTTTCATCATTTCATTTCATTTATTCTTGTTCTTGAATGGAAAAAAAAAAAAAAAAAGAAGCAAATTTTCATGAGTTAATTATGTGGATGTCAATCATGTAACATTTACAAGAGGCAGGCTAGACTGGCTAGTGGATAACTAGTGTTGATTAATGATGATGCGGCAAAACATGAGCATAACTTTCTGCAGGCAGCAGCTCTCTAATCAAGATTTGCTATCATGGAACTTAAATTACCTTGCCAATGATAGGCAAAAGGTGCAAATGAACCCCCTAAACTGGCAATATGGTGGCTTCTAACCCCTCGAACTCAGTATGGTGGCAAAACATCCCCTGTACTTAGAGATCAGTGGCATATCAGCCCCTAGTGTAACTAGAGACGTTAAGTGGCGTTAGATAAAGTTGAAAAATTGCAGGATTAGTCCTCAAGTAAAACATAAGACAACAATTAAACCCCAAGAGTCTTCATGGGAGATATTGTCATAAATACAAGAACAATACTAAACATTTGTTATCAAATTGAGCTAGTGGCTCAATCTGAAGAAAGAGTCCTAGAAGAAATGAAAGAAAAGTGCTTAGTCGAGTTAAAACAAGAAAATGGAAGAATAAACTCTATAGTAACACTGTATAATAGACAGATCAGATTTAGAAAACAAAGAATAAATAAAATAAAGAAAAATAGTTAATTTATTGAAGTTAATATGAATAATGAACAAATAAATTGGATTAACATGTATTTACTCAATATAGTGGGTAAAAACATAATCTGTAGTGAAGATATAATTATCGTTGATAAGATTCTAAAAATAGAAACTATCAATGAAAATACTTCAAGAAGAATGAAAGAGATGAGAAAATCCCTCTCACAAGAATTTGAGTCTATCAAAGACAAGATAAACGGAATTAAAAATAAATAAAATGAGAAATAAGGTCTATTAGAGACTTAAAGTTCATAATCTCATGAGTTAGAGATATAGAAACAAAATAGAAGAAATTCTTAAGATATTAAAAGCGATCGCTCAAAAATTTGCCATAAAAGTTAAAGATGTACAATAAAATAATCCCATAATTAGAAAGTGATATAGATAAGAATTTTTAAAAAATCCAAACTCAGCTTAGAGATCTACAAGATGCTGTAATTTCAATCTGTAGTAGACGAAATATTATAGAAAGAAGTGAAGGATTTAAGATTATCCCAAAGATTTTTATAGAAAAACTTAAATCAGAGAGAATAACACTTTTTATGTTAAAAACTCAAGAAGAAAAGTTAAAAGAATTGGAACAAAGATTCTTAGAGGAAGAAAATGCAGAAGAGTTAGATAATCTATGCAAATAAATTACTATAACTACGAAACAACTAGAAAATATGAAAATGAATACTTGCAGAAAAGGAAAGGAAGACATAGAGGATGAGAGGCAACCTAACATAACACCAACAGAATTCCCGATACAACAAGGGGTAGAATCTAGCACTAATCAAAGTTACTATTAAAAATAGAAATCAAATACATGAAATACTATATGATAAAAAGAACTTTGGAAATCAATCTAGATTTGAAACCCCAATTAGAGTCAAGCAATAAATTATCAGTACAAATGGTGTTTGGCTAGATCTAGACTGTGTTATTGATCCCAAAAAGGTCATTAGTGAATGGGCTCAAGCCACTTGGATAGCCATAGCAAATAAAAACTGGAATGCTTTACAAGTATTTAGATTCATAGAGGTTACCTTTCGAGGGATAGTTCATGATTGGTTTGCTAGTCTAAGCGAACAAGAGAGTAATGTCATTATAAGTGGAAATCTTGCTTTAGAAGAGGTAAACAAAATTGAAGCAATTCAAGATATACTAACTAGATTTGGATCAGCTATAAGAAAAGCATGTTTAGGAGAAAATTGGGAAGAAAATCAAGAAAAGGAAGAAGCCAGAATTGGAAGAATAGCAATATGAAATTTACAGAATTTAAAATTATATAATCTTTGTCAGTTAGACCAATACATTTGTTTGTTTCAAATTACTATTATAAAGCCTCAAATCATGAAATGGCTAAAGGCCTAAGAGAATTATTTTTTTGGAAAGATCCCTAACCCTTGGGGAATAAAGCTAGCAGAAGCCTATAGAACCTACATGGAAGGTAAAAATGATACATTAGGACTAAGAATTTGGTTCTCTAAAACCAAAATAAATGAATGGTGTCTAGAAATTTATGGCTATAACAAATTAAGAAAAAGCATGAAAAAGGGGTTATGTTATCCTAAAAATAGTGGTCCAATCAAATTAGGATGTAATTCTTCAAACTACAAAAAGAAAAACAACAGATTTAAAATTAGAAGTAATAAACAAAAGTTTAATAAGAATAAATATTTTGAAAAAAAGAAGAGATATTTTAAGAAGACAAAAGCACCAAGAAAATATAAAAGGAATCTTAAAAAATGTAAATGCTGGCTATGTAAAGAAGAAGGACACTATGCAAATGAATGTCCTAAAAGACATAAAAAAGAAAGTACTAAAAATCTATGAAGAAGAATTAAGTGAAATAGATATTAGCTCTATAGACAATGATGAAACCATATATGAAGTAGAGAGTTTAGATACTTCCAACAGTGATGAATCCGATTGTTGAGAAAGGAGAAGCTTATTCTAAAGAATATGAAGGATATGGAGAATATAGTCAAATAACTGTGTTCGATAGTAAGTATAGAAGAATTAGATAAAAAGGAATGGACCTTGCAGTAAAAAAGGGGTTCAAGAAAAGTACATTTATTACTAATCCTTTTAAAAGGAAAGATATAGTTTACTATGGAATATCTACTAAAGAATATAGTGTTCCTATAAGGAATACAATAGGAATAATAAACATACCTATACTCATCAAATCAAAAATAGAAAGTAAATTGTCAAAAATTAAAGAATTTGATAAATCAAGAATAGGGTTTATCCATATAGGAGGAATTCAAATTCTTATTAAAGCTCATTTTAGAGAAGGTATAGACACCCTAATAAAGATAGCTTTGATAGATAACTGAATTAACGATAGAAAAGATGCTATCTTAGGATTAGTGCAAGGTAACCTTAGTTATCAAAAATTGATGTTCACAATATATCCAAAGTATACTGTAAATATTAATAATAGAAATATCAATAAAACACTAAGTTTAGCACATGAGTTGGCTAGAGAAAATTTTACGAAAGATGGATCAATGCCATATAGAATTTACTATACGATAAGTTATGCATTGACCAATAGTCATCAATCTAATCTTTTTAAAAATAAAGAATACATTGAGTTAGACCCTATGTTCTCTGAAATAGGACCAATCCAAAAGCCAGAGATGATCACTAAGATAGAGCTACCCAAGGAATGGGAAATGGACATTAGTGAAAAACCATACCTAATACGAGAAAGAGAAAAACCTAGATTAATGGCATTTGAGTCAGGAAGACTATTAATTAGAATAGAAACTGAACCAAGCCATAGAAATAGTATAGACTTAGGTGCATTGAGCTACCCTAAGAAAGATAAAGAAGTCTTAATTGGGACTAGTATTAAACATGAAATGGCATTAGACACCTTGAAAATCCCCTGTAGACATTTTAAAATAAAAGGAGACTATTATGATGGAAAGGAATGGCATAAAATTTCTATCCTAATTGATTTAGGCATGAGAGTAACACATATCCATACAAATATGATCCCACACCCACAAAGGTTTGAACTCACTAAACCTTATACATATTTCAACTTTAATGGTGTAATAACCACAGTGCATGAATATGCTAGAGTACCTCTTAGAATAGAAGACAAGAATAAAATACAACATGAAATCACTGTAACAGCTCATGCTGAAATAGAAATGACTGCAAGTGTAGAATTGATGCTAGGAAACACATTCTTAACATCAGTATAGCCATATAACATTCAAGAACATTGCTTGAAAATCACCTTAAGTGGAAAAGAAGTAGTTATACCAAGATACTAAGAAAACTAGTATCTATAGCGTATACATATCTATTGGAATAAAATATGAAGAATACAAAACATAATTCTTTCATGCTCTTATAGATACAAGATCTGGGATATGTTTGGCAAAAACCAATGTTTTCCCAAAGCTTTATTGGAAGCAAACCTCTCAAACAATGAAAGGTATAGCCATAGATGGAAGCATTATTCAATGTCAAACAATAATAGAAAGAGTAACTACCATATTGGCGGGAGTGAAGTTGTAATTCCCTGAATCTATGAAAGT